CTGCCAAGAGCCAACCGTTCTTTTTTCTCTGACAGATGGTCAGAACGTCATCTGGGGTCGAATCCTACTGAGAGGTCCACTAGAGATCAGAAATTGTTGAAGAAAGAACAAGATGTTTCTTTTGTTCTTTCCAGGCGATCGGAAAAGAAAGAAATAGTTAATATATTCAAGATAATTATGTATTTACAAAATACCGTCTCAATTCATCCTATTTCATCAAATCCAGGATGGGATATGGTTCCGAAGGATGAACTGGATGGGATATGGTTCCGAAGGATGAACTGGACGGTTCCAATAAGATTTCATTCTTGAACAAAAATCCGTTTTTTGGTTTATTTCATCTATTCCATGACCGGAATAGGGGGGGATACACGTTACACCACGATTTTGAATCAGAAGAGATATTTCAAGAAATGGCAGATCTATTCACTCTATCAATAACCGAGCCGGATCTGGTGTATCCTAAGGGATTTGCCTTTTGTATGGATTCCTCCGGATTGGATCAAAAACAATTCTAGGCAGTCAATCAATATAGATTGATCCGCCGAAATCTGATTCAAATCCACATTCGTTTGTAGAGCTATTTACTCGATCGCAGACATTTCTGGAACACCTCTAACAGAGGGACAAAGAGTCAATTTTAAAAGAACTTATTGTCAACCTCGTTCAGATATGAATCTACATGATTCAGAAGGGAAGAGCTTGCATCAGAATCTCAATTTCAATTCAAACATGGGTTTGATTCACACTCCATGTTTTGAGAAATATTTAACATCCGAAAAGAGGAAAAAACGGAGTCCTTGTCTAAAAAAATGCCTTGAGAAAGGGCATATGTATAGAACCTTTCAACGAGATAGTGCTTTTTTGAAAGTAACTGGCCTTGAAGGCTGAAGCATGTGAGAAGGAAAAACAAAATTTTTTCTTGCGGAAGCACACATGTAATAAAGACTCTTGCTTTAAGACATCATGATGTTACCTTTGTTTGTGATTCTAAACCACCAAGGAGGTCAGTGTCAGGTTTGAAGGGTTCAAACCCTCTAACGTTGATCCACACCACCCACGTCAAGATGCAAGAACACTTTCTTGAAAGCCACTAATTAACCACCACGAAGAGGCTTGCTATGCGCTCAATAGGTGAAGAAGGAGGCTAGGTGAATGTGTTTAGAAGAGTGATATTTTAAGCGTAAAATATCACAAAAGTGGCGCATGGAATAGAGGAGAATTGGCTAGGTATTTTTCTGAAAAACCTAAGGAAGAACTCCACCAAAGTTAGCGCTCAAGAGGATGAGAGAAAGAGCTTTTTTATAAATTCAGATTTTTCTCCAAAAATTTGACTTAAAGTGGCACACAATCAAGGGAGATAAATTCAGATTTTTTTTCTCCAAAAATCTGCCTTAAAGTGGCGCAAAATCAAGGGAGAAAAAGGTGGAGTTGTTTTAATTCAAAATTCTAAACAACCTTCCTTTTTCATCCTCATGAGATTAGGTCTTAACCTAATCAAATATTCTGACTTAATGGCCATCATATGACTAGCCATATGTGCGCCCCATTCAGTCCAAGAAACTGTCCAGATACGTTGAGTAGTTGTATTCATATTTGAATCAACTCACTCACTTATTCTCTCATCAAATCAAATCAGATTTGAGCTTATCTGGTTGACAAGATGACACTCATCACAACCCATAATGGCGCCCCAAATCAGCCTTGAATGAGATCAAAGATCTCCTCTTGATACTAGGGATTTGTTCCAATCAAGATCTTATCTTACCTTTTGTTATGAAACAATTTTTCATAACCAATTTAAATTCGAATTTAATCATTTAAATTCAAACAATTTTTCATAGCCAATTTAAATTCGAATTTAATCATTTAAATTCAAACGTTCAAATATTTAAATTCAAAATTCAAAATTCAAAATTCAAATTCAAAATTCAAAATTCAAAATTCAAATTTCAAATTCAAAATTCGAATTTCAAATTCAAAATTCAAAATTCAAATTTCAAATTTCAAAATTCAAAATTTAAATATTTGATAATTAATTTAACTAATGAAATTAATTAATAATGTCTTGGACCATCTAAGCCCATTAACCATACCATGCGCCCTCTCCCTCTTAGGAGGGCTTCCAAACTTCTTCTTGGGCTAACAATCATTATTAGGCTCAACACCTTTAATGTTATATCATCTTGACAATAAGGTGTTAGTGTGTGACCCATTAGGCCCAACATAGCCACTGACATAAATGGGCTTGGGCTCAACAAGCCCACAACCCATCTAATGACAACACAGAGCACTAGCAATGCTTTGTTGCCCCAGAGCTAGTTAGATTAAAGACTTGATCATCCTATTACACATATTTGGTTGCCGTATATATTTCCTTTCGTCTCGGTTACCTTCCCAATAAACCTAGGGTAAGGAAACGTATCAACCCTTGCGGTTTAGGGTAAGCTTGATTCGAAATAAGGAATCTTCAATTTACTGACTCTAAAGGCAGATCATC